TCCAAACATTCCTTATCCCTCCCCTGGGCAAGAAATCATTTTAAAAGCAACATGAGCCTTGGTGGGTGTGCCTAAGTGGTTAGAGCATCGGCCCACAGACTGAAGGGTTGCAGGTTTGATTCCGGTCAAGGGCATGTATCTCAGTTGCAGGCTCAATCCCTGGCTGGAATCAGGATGCGGGAGGCAACCAATCTATGTGCCTCTTTTGCATGAACGTCTCTCTCTCTCTCTCTCTCTCTCTCTCTCTCTCTCTCTCTCTCTCCCTTCCCCCCTTCCACTCTCTAAAAATCAATTTTAAAAATATATCCTCAGCTGAGGATTAACAACAACAACAAAGACAGCATATATCAAGCACCTAGCTGCACAAGCATGGCCCAGCATGGCCCCTCATAACTGCTCAATAAACAAATGTTAGCTCTTCTTGGACATTGTCCTTAGTGCCTGACTGTTTTGCCCAGGCTCTCAGCTGCTCCTGAGTAGGGTCTGAGGCAGTGGATGACCAGAGGACTGACCAGGACTGAGCTAGCTCCACAGGGACCAGCGAGGAGCAGAACCCTGCGCCAGTCCTTCCCCTTGGCCTCAATTCCTGCAGCTGCAGAAAGGGTGCAGGATCATCGCTAAGGTTTCATGCCAAGGACCCCAGAGAAGGGCAGCGAGAATCCGTAGGAAAACTGCAGGTCCCGCCCTCCCACTGACTCCCCTCCAACGGCATGGAAACGTAGCCCTCTGACAGGCATCTCAGACTGGACGTATCCCCAGTCAAACTGCCGTCTCCTCCTCCCTCATATCAGGGAATGACACCTCTGTCCTTCCAGTTGGAGCCCCCTCCTCCCTCACACCCGCTATCTGTCAGCAAGTCTTGTTCAGAAACAGACCACCTCCCACCACCTCCGACCCTACAGCCCAGGCTGAGCCAGGGCGCCCTCCCCTCTCCCTCGATGACGGCAGTCGCCTCCCCCTGGTTTGGCTGCTTCTCCTTTCCTATGTGACCAACCGTTCCGCGTTGCCCAGGACTGCAGGAGTGTCCAAGGCGCCAAACGGTAAGTGGCAAAATTAGGAAAGTCCCAGGCAGACAGACACGAGTTGGTTCCCCTGCCTTCCTGTCCTTACAGCCTCTCCTCAGAACAGCCCGAGGCTCCTTCTAAACGTTTACATGTCGGATCACATCACAGCTCTGCCTGGAACCCTCTAATGGCGTTCCATTTCACTCCGACGCCTTAAATTGTCTGCAAGTTTACACATGAGCTGGTGCCAAGCCTCACCCCACCCCCGTGCTTCCCTGCCCTCATCTCTACCACCCTCCGTGTCCACTCTGCTCCCGCCAGGCTGGCTTCCTCGCTCATCCTCACACACATCACCTGCATGTTCAGCTCAGGGCCTATGCCAGGGGTCCTCAAACTTTTTAAATGGGGCCAGTTCACTGTCCCTCAGACCATTGGAGGGCCGGACTATAGTTTAAAAAAAAACTATGAACAAATTCCTATGCACACTGCACATATCTTATTATGAAGTAAAAAAACAAAACGGGAACAAATACAATATTTGTATTTGCATGTGGCCTGCGGGCTGTAGTTTGAGGACCCCTGGCCTATGCACTGTCCTTCCTCTTACTGGAATGTTCTTCTCCAGCTGCCCACATGGCTCTTTCTCTCACTGCCTCAGGTCCCTGCTCAAATGCCACTTTATTCGACGGCTCTGCTCTGGCCACCCCACAGGAACCCCCTGTATTCTGCTTGGTTATTTCCCATCACACTTGTCATCTCCGGGAATACTATGCATGTACACATGTCTTTTGGGTTGTTTCTTTCCAGGTGAAGGGATGCTTCGGGAGACCTGGGGGCTTTGCTTGTTTTCCTTTCTTTTCCGGTTCCTGGAATAGCTCATGGTACATGGCAGACCCTCAACCAATATTTGTTCAGTGAGTTCACCATCTCCTGCCACCTTCTTCCTCTACCAGCGGGCCGGGTCTTATGTCTCCACTTGACCTCTTAGCAAGGTCGGCGTCCCTCCCCTGGCCAGCTGTCGCCTCCACGTATAACGTTCAGGCTCAGACGCCCCCCCCCCCCAAATAACTCTCTCAGGGCCTCCCTGCCCAGCTCCCTGCCTTGCTATTTTTAGCAGCTCCTCCAGCTTCCTGTGAGCGGCTTGCAGCAACTCCGATCCTGATGAGACAGGCAGGTAAGCCATGACAAGTGCGATAGGAAAACAGGCAGACAGTATACTGCCATCTAGAAAATCTACATGCCAAGCAGTTTGCAGCCATCAGTAAATCCTATCTTCCCCAAACCAAGGACACTTAAGAATAAACGATTGGCACTTTCCTCCCCATCCGAAGGGCAACTAGCTTAAATCACCCTACTCGGGGAGACATAACAGAAATCCACTTAGTGCCACTTGCCAACCACACCTGAGGACAGATGAAGTTAAGCGAATAAACTGCCTTCGGGTGCAGCAGCATAAGACCAGCCTTTAAAACCCCTCAGAGCGAAGGTCCCGCACCAGCTTTCCCTCCCGGGAGCACACCCGAGCCTCTCCCCTTCCCCCCTCCACAGGCCTGCACCTCCTAAAGGGCAGGGGACCCCGCGAGGCTTGCAGCCAGGGCAGCGGCAGTTCGTCCCAGACAAACCTCCTGAACCTGTGCCCAAGGCCCCCTTTTCTCTGGCTTCTTAGCCAAAGCAGCCCAGCCTAGGCTCGTTTCCCCCGCCCTTCCTTGTTTCCTTGTCCCCGGCTTTAATAAATATCCTCTAAAATTCACCTGGGCTCCGGTTGTGAAATTTTTCCTGCAGGAAGTCAGAAACCCACACACTACTGCTGGCCCAGGGCAGACCCCCTCGGGGCCAGTCCGCTTTCCGGGAAACACCGAGTTCATGATACAGAACGAAGACATCAGAGGCATTGGCAGAGCCTACCTGGAGCAGCCCTGGCGACTCCCCAGTGGGCCAGGAAAAGCAGCAGCTTGAGCAGGCTCATCCCTGGGGCTTGCGTCACAGGGTACGTGGGATTTTCCAGGAGCTGTGGTTCGAGCCACAGGCTTCCTAAGTAGGAAATGGTGGCTGCTGGCCTGAGCAGAGCTTCCTGTCCTGTTACCTGGTGTTTCCAGTCATCGAAGGCTCCTCTGGCTTTTCCTCCTTTGCCCAGCAGGGTGTGACCTGGGTGCACCGAGGTGCTATGCCTGCCAGACCTTTGGACTCTGAAATAGAAAGCAGCACCCGCCAGCCAGACCTTTGGACTCTGAAATAGAAAGCAGCACCCGTCCCACGGTTACAGGCTAGTAAGAAGCTAGGAAAATTCCAGGACAAGTGGAATAGGGGAACTAAGACAGGCGGGTAAATAGCAGTTTGCAGCCACCTATTAAATCCTTTCTTCCCTAAACCAAGGACACTTTGGTGTCTTTGCACTTCTCCCAGCCAGAGGGTAAATAGCTTAAATCACCCTACTCAGGGGGACAGACAGCAGAAATCCAGTTAGTGCCATTTGCCAACCACACCCAAGGAGAGACAAATTAAGAGAATAAACCTCATTTTGGGATATCAGCATAAAGCTGATAAATAGTCTATTGGTCCTCCCCCAAGACCTAAATGCCCATGAAGTATGGTAGCAATCATCTCAGGTAGAAACTATAGTTTAACTTTAACACTGCTGTTTGGCTTCTGTACTTATTTGCTTTGTTTAACAATAGAAAAGTTATTTTGATTTTCTGAATTATATAAATCATCCCATTCGATTAAATACCCTATTGATTGTAATGTGAAATCCCATTTGTAGTGGTCATACTGGTCTTAGAAAGCACATTTTCCTTTACCTGGGAAGGACAGCACAGTTATCCCAAGGTCAGAGGGCTCCAGTTAACGTGTCCCTGTTGACTCAGTGTTCCGGAGACCCAAAACTGTAATTTAGATAACATACTTAAGTCTGACCAGGTTCCTCATTCCAGACTCGAGGGCTCTAGATAATGTGTTTCTGTCAATTCAGTGATCCAGAGACCCAAAACTGTAATTTAAATAACATGCTGCTTCTGCTTCTGTAAACTGCTTTTTTGCGAACCAGGTTCCTCATTCCAAACCTTGAGATGTAATCAATACCTTTGTAATCTTTGCCTATATAAGTCTGGTTTTGCCACCATCTTATCACTATGAGATTTGGGGAATGGCCCCTCATAGTCCCGGATTGCAATAAATGTGACTCTTTAATTCGACTTCTTGAGGCATCCTTCTGTGATTCTCGGGGTACATTACAACACCCAGCCTTTAATGCCCATGCCACTCCTTCCCTTCCCCTTCCCCCACAGGCACGTATCTCCTAAACTCCGAGGACCCCATGAGACTTGCAACCAGGGGAGCAATGGGCAGCGGCAGCTCATCCTGGGCTAATCCCCTAAACCCACATAGACTCCCTCTCCTGAAATCCCTGCTTCCCCATGGAATCTTTGTCCTACCTTATATAAGCAGTTGGCTTAGGGGGGGCTGCAGAGCAGATTTTTGTGGATGACCTGCTGCTCTCCCATCCTGCCGGCAGTTTGGAGTAAACGCTCATGTATGATTCAACCCTGTCTTTGCGGAATTGGCTCAAGTAGTGACAGGCAGCCCAGACTCATTGGTTGTTTGGTTTCACGCCCCCCTGGGAATTGAATCTTGATCTTCTGATTCATAGGTCCACGCCCAACCACTGAGCCACACTAACTGGGCTCTACGTTCTTCCTTGTTTCACTTCCTAAATGTATTTTTGCTGCGGTCAATACATTCATGCTTGCTTTTCTACACTTCGTCTCTTGATTGAAATCTTTCCTTCAAGAAGACAAGAACCGCCGAGGCCTCATTGTCTCATCGGTAACACCGCCCGTTCCTCAGAGCATGTCAGTCCAACCAGCAACTGGTTTCTTGAGGGCACTCACCTAATCCCAGTCACTGGGAGGCAAATGTCATAAGCTCTTGGAGAGCAAACAAACCTGTAGAACATGGCTGGTCTTTGCCATCAAAGGAACGTCACTGTTAGTTGGGGATAAAGCTGCTCATTCACAAATGAATCAAGACTATGAGTCATCCATTCATTCACGCTGGGAACCGTGTCCCAGGGAGACGGAGGGGACCCAGGGCAGCCCTGCCCTCAAGATGGGGAGGTAACTCACTGGACGGCATGCATTTCAGCATATTCAGTGGCTTGACAAGCCGAGAGGAGGAATCTGACTCAGACTGAGAAGGTGACAGGGGTTTAATCTCTTATTATTGAAAGTGTCTGGGAGCGGGGTGCGGGGTGGGTAAAAAAGGTGAAGGGGTTAAGAAGTACAAATTGGTTGTTACAGAAGAACAGTCGTGGGAGGAGGAGGGCATCAAAATAACGACCAGGACTGAATTTTGTGCCATTTCAGCTGTTGATTTAATAAAAGCAAGGCAGTGTGACATTTCTTGCACCAGAGCCTATGGCCTGATTCATACTTGCTGGACAGTATCTGGGGCACATTGAGGTTCGCTTGGAAGGTAAGCCCGGGGACTGGTGGGGAAGGAGGACAGGCTGAAAGTCTAGGGCAGGCTCAGGTACTCCTTGTAAACCCATTGAGGGGTGCTGGAGTCCCACTCAGCTTTTGGCTGACTGCAAAGACTTCTTTTAAATACCCCAGTTTTTTGGTCAGTGTCCCCAGAAAGCCCCCCATTGTTGTGGCAGAATGCACAGGGAATTCTGGATCCAAAGCCTGAACTGAACTCGTGGGGAGGCTCTGACCTATATATCTCCTCCTGTGGCAGGCCCCTGAGGGTCCCCACAGCTTCGCCCAAGTCAGCTGTGACGGGGCCCTGGGGTTAGGCCCTGCAGCTCCGCCCAAGTCAGTGTGGGGAAGTAAGACTACAGTTTTAACCAGATACTGAACTAGGTTGCAAGCCCCCCCCAACCCCCATTTTCCTTTTCACCATCACCACCACCACTACTAACCCACAAGGTAATTCTGTGAGAATAGAAACAGGCACCCCTCGCCCTTGTCCGGCTGGTGTGGCTCAATGGATTGAGAGTCCTCCCATGCCCCAAGAGATAGTGGGTTTGATTCTGAGCCGGGGCACAAGCCTGAGTTGTAGGCTCAGTTCCCAGTGGGGGGCATGCAGGAGGCAGCTGATCAATGTTTCTCTCTCATCCATGTTTCTATTGCTTTCTCCCTCTCCCTTCCTCTCTATCTAAAAATCAATAAAAATATATTTTAAAAGAAAGAAAAAAAGAAGGCACTCCTTTAGGCCTTTGTGTGGATTAGAAAAACATGCCTCCATCCCAGACAGACACAGCCAGAGCTCAGAGTGGAGCAGGAGGGTTTCAGCCCTGACTCAGCCCTCTGCCAGGATTTTGCTGCCTAAATAACAGTGGCTTCTTCCTGAGTCCAGCCTGACCAGCTGAACCCGTTTGTGCTGGGTTTACTGAAAGAGGTAACTGAGGCAGAGAAATCCAAATGGTTGGAGCTTTGCCTCTTTAAGTACAAACCAGTCCCCCCTCTTCAAATTGCCCATGGTACTTCTTTGACTCTTGGCAATTGTAATCTACAGAAAATCTCCATCACTCTTAGGGAAGAGCATCTACACTAATAAAAGAGAAACATGCAAATTAACCATCCCTTTGCGATGCCCACCAGCCAATCAGGAGTGACATGCAAATTAACCCAACAAAGATGGCAGAGTCCGGAGTCGGGATACTTGCGTCGCAGCCACGGCTACCATGCAAGCATCCCGGCTCTGGCCACTCCAGGCCTGTTGTCGATGCAGAAGTCAGGGGAGACAGAGAAGTCCGGCTCCAGCGCCTGAGGCTGGCTTTGGCCCGGGAGATAAAGAAGCCGCCTACCCCGTGATCCCAGGCCACAGCCAGCCAGAGAAGCCGCCCACACTGCATCCCAGAGGAGACAGAGAACCCGGGTCCAGTGCCTGAGGCTGGCTGCGGCCTGGGAGACGAAGAAGCCACCTGCCCCGTGATCCCAGGCCACAGCCAGCTGGAGAAGCCGCCTGCCCCACATCCGCCTGCCCCATGTCCTCGGGGAGACTGAGAAGCTGGGCCCCAGTGCCTGAGGCTGGCTGTGGCCTAGGAGATGAAGAAGCCGCCTGCCCATGATCTCAGGTTGCAGCCAGCCGAAGAAGCTGTCCACACTGCCCACCTGTGGTCCAGACGCCAGCGCCTGCGGCTGGCTGCGGCCCAGGCGACGGACAAGCCACCCGCCCCGAGGTCCCAGGCTGCAGCCACCGGGAGAAGCTGCCAGCCCTGTGGTCCAGGGCGCCAGCGCCTGTGGCCCGGGAAATAGGTTCCCTCTTCTCCTACTGCAGTCATTACTCCAATATTCCCCTTCTGAATTTCTCTCCTGTGCCGCAACCCAACTCCACTTTTCATCTGAAGGATACAGAGCAGAGTGAACAGTGTTAAAAGCTTACATTTTTAAGCTGGTAAGGTTGGTACTTACACATATAAATGGAAAACTAGAGTCCTTAAGGTAACAAAGGCTACAAAGGGAGGGGGACAGGGACAGGGCATGGCATATTATATCCAGCAATCCATATGGGGTCTGAAAACTTTGCAATGATGACAATTAGTGAAGATATGAATCAACTAACATAGTTGACAGGGACAATTCTTCCATCTTTGAAAATATCTACATCAAGTCTGTTTAAAATGATTTTCATCTGCATAATATAACACATTCTGACAAGACCACCAGCACCAATGTGGCCAGTGTTGTGCTGATAAATATATAACAACTGGCTCTCAATCAAAGAAAACAAAACTCTGATTTATAGTATTGGCCAATTTCTGTAGCATAAATTCTCCATCCATGGCTGATTTCAGCTGCTAATGTGATGCCACTAAATGCAGAGCTGAGGAGAAACATGCAGTAATACACTATTATATTCTACCAGAAAGACCCAAAAGATATAAATAAAGTCAAGAGTCAAAACAGTAAAGTGTAGTAAATAATTGAGGAGTGATGAATTTAGAGTATGTATTACCTTTGGTTTTCATGTAATTTATTCACTTTTAAGATTATATAATTTAATTTTTAATAATGAACATGTTTAACAACCAGCTTACAAAATTCCTGAAAATTTGTGAGCCAGTAAGAGCAGGCTCTAACACAATACTGAGTGGAGTGTAATGGTTAAATGCCAAGGCTCATGGATTTGAAATGAGACTCAGCCACTTTTGGGTTTTGCTGGTCAAGTTACCTGATCTCTCTATACCTCAGTGTTCTCATCTGTGTCATTATAGTACCTCCTGTATAGAGTTGTTGCAAAGATAAAATGAAATCTGTGTATGACACAGCACAGTACCTGAAACAATAATTCACTCAATTTGTTATAAACTGTTACTGCCTCAAAACGTTGTTGACAAAATTACTCATGCTGAAAGAATGAAATTTTATTGATGAGAAAAATGCCTTATTTTGCGATCTACACGGAGACAGTCAATTTTACTTCCTAGGCAGTAGATGGTAATCTACTACTAGAAACTGCAAGGGGAAAAATGACCTCAGTCAACATGATTGAGGCAATGTATTATTAGCTGGATCATAAAGCAGAGAGGATGCCATGCATTCTGGGATACATCTGCAGTAAGAAGCTTCATCTCAGGTATTAATTCTGATCAACTAAGCATCAGACTTAAGATGAATGGTGAGAAGGATTCTGAGGCTGCTTCTAGACTTAGCAGGAATAGAACTTTCATACATAAGCAACAGTTACTATGGTTAATGATGGCAAGAAAAAACACACCATGATCTATTCTAATAAAAGGGTAATATGCTAATTAGACCACATGTCTTCCGCATGACCATCCACACATCCTTCCTGACAAAGCCGGGCCTGGGCGAAGCCGCCTGCTGGCAGTCCTGGGCACCAGCACCTGTGGCTGGCTGTGGCCCAGGAGACGGAGATGCCACCCATGCTGTGGTCCCAGGTGCCAGCACCTGCAGCTGCAGCCAGCCTGGGCAAAGCCGGCCCGGGTCCCGTGTGCCTATGGCTGACCAGAGGGAGGGAAGCCCAGGTCCCAGGTGCCTGAGGTCAGTTGGAGGAGGGAATCCTGGGTCCTGGGTGCAGGGCTGAGGCAGAGATGGTTAGGGGCAATCAAGCTAGCAGGGGAGCAGTTAGGGATGATCAGGCTGGCAGGCAGAAGCAGTTAGGGGCAATCAGGCAGGCAGGCAAGCGGTTAGGAGCCAGCAGTTCTGGATTGTGAGAGGGATGTCCAACTGCCGGTTATCCACCGAGGGATCCCAAATTGGAGAGGGTGCAGGCCGGACTGAGGGACCCCCCCCCCCCTGCACAAATTTCATGCATTGGGCCACTAGTGCTGTCTAAAAGCTGTAAGAGGCAAGCATTCTTCATGATTCTGCTGTAGCCTTTCAGGCCTATCACCTCAGGAGAAACAAACGCCTTGGCAGCAAAGCCCTGGGGAGTGTGGGTGATAGCCCTCGAGTGCCAGTGACCTTTGCCCATTCCCAGCCTCAGAGCTTCTGGTTGCTGCTGTGGCTGGCCCAAGGTTCAAGTCCACACAGGGCTTAGTCCAAGAAGGGCAAGAGTGGGAACATAATGAATCCAGTCACTCAAGCAAAGCTACATTGATCTTTAGC